TTATTAGTCAGCAAAACAAGGTTTATATAGCAAAGCAATTACAGCATCTGATTGGTTAGACCCCTAACCATATATAGGCAAAAATACTGCAACTCGTGATTGGTGCAGAGCTGCATCTCGATGTGGAAGCAGTGCTGTGGCAGGAAACGACAGCATGGCAGGAAGTGTCAGTGCAGGAAGTGACAGTGCAGCAGGAAATGGCGACGTGACGGTCCCCCTGCTCCAGTGTCCCGAGCTCGTCGCTCTACCTTCCCAACAGGGTTCTGTGTTCGCCACTCTCAAGGCTCACCTCCGGATCGGAACCTGGATTGCTCAACGGCACCAAGCTACGTCCCCTCTCGTCCAGCCAGGACTCCACAAAACTCCTTTTAGACTTTTAAAATATATATTACATTTTGAACTCTTGTTGCACATAGAAATTCCACATATGAATTTCCCTAAGACTTTGAGCATCTGAAACAGAGGCTTAATTTTACTTCCTCATGACAGTTATTGACACCAGTAGGCTTAGCCCAAGCAAGGAAAAGAATATGATGTGCAATTAGAATGCTAAAGCAGGTATTAGAATATATTGCAAAGTTATGCAAAGGACCATTTAAAATTTATGAAACACCTTTGACAGAAGAGGGTTTTTTTCTTTTGCTACATTAATGTTAAATTACACTAGATTTCCAAAAGTAATAGTAATTCAAAAAGCAGAGATAGATGAGGATGTACTATACACCATAGCTTCCGCATCTACCGGCATCAGCATCTGATTTTGGTTTCTAAATTGAATCTTTGTAACTGAGGGCTACACTAAGACCAAATCAGAAGTTACAAAACAATACTACAGTATTCTCTTAACTTGTTTTAGGGTAAAATTTTAAATCTAGAAAGACAAACAAATAGATTTAACTACAGATAAAGCTGATAGATTTTTGCTCTCAGTATGTTTCTCAGACACTCTAACTGCTGTAATGAAATCCTAAAACCAACTGCATAACCTCCACTAGCCTCCTCATAAACTGAAAATATTTTATTTCGGTTTTGGAAGGAGCATTTTCTGCTTTTAATGCATTATTATTTAATTTTTCTTGAAGAGGCAAGTTGTTGCATTTCAGATACACATCATGATACTCATTAAATATGCTTGATGGTGACATCATGACCACATTCAGGCTCAAAACTTGAAGTATTGCATTTGATCAAGCATTGTTTCGAGGAATGACAGCCCTTCTTTTCAGCACTTCGAAAGGCAGATTTTCATTCCATGCTGTGTGAACAAATGTTCCGATCCCAAACACTCAGGCACTGGCAACTTTTGGGACTGTGGTGCAGCACACCAGTGATACAGTTAAAAGTCATTTATCTGTTATGCCCAGTGTGGCCATTGCAGAGTTCCTGTTGCAACTACAGCTTAACATTTTGTTCTCACTCTTCCCGCATAACATCAAGCTCAGAACTAATTTAAAAAGCAACATACTCACAATTTATGTCCAGGACAGAGCAGGTTAATTTGAAACTAGCAAATCAACCCACCTTACCTAAGGACAGATGTTTGATATTCCTGGAATGAGAAGTATTCTTGCATTAGTCATGGCTTGAGACGTCACTGCATCTCAAATTTTTACTTCCTTGTAAATGGACCATCACAGACTTAGAAATTTTATTGTTAATAAACAATGAATTGCTACAGAGTTTTCTATTTCCAGGTCACTTTATGAAAAATAACCAGTGGATCACAATTTAAGAAGTTAAAATGACAGTTTTTAACGTCTTTGTAATGCTTCTGCCTGTAAGCTACAATGGCATACTTGTTTCCACCCAACTTCCAGACTGAGTAACTTTAACGAAGAACTTAAAAATTTAGCAAGAAGTTATACTCTTAGAAGCTTTTGAAGACAAGATGAAAACCGCAGTTTCTAGGAATCTCTGTCATCCATCCCATTTAACTTCATCTTGTCCCCTTTTCTGACTTCTTCTCTCATATAACTCAGGACAAGTACACCAAATTTTGATTCTTGAAGGACAGCAAGCATTGTAAACAAATGGGGGCTTGCAATTAGCAAATACATGGTGGGTTAACCTTGATCAGCTGCCAGATGCTCTCTCATTCCCCCTCCTCAAAAGAACATGGGGAGCTAATGGGATGAAAAATCTCATTTATTGAGACAAAGATAGGGAGATCGTTCACCAGTTACTATCACAGGCAAAACAGATTTGATTTGGGGAAAAATAATTTCATTTACTGCCAACGAAATTATAGTTGAGAAGTGAGAAATCAAGACACAAAAAATACAACACCCTGCTCCCAGGCTCAGCTTCACTCCTTCATTCGAGACTCCTCCACCCCTCCGCACTGAGCAGCACAGGGAAGTGGGAAATGGAGGGCTGTGGTCAGTCCATAACAGCTCCTCCCTGCTACTCCTTCCTCCTCATGCTTCTCCCCTACTCCAGTATGTGTTTTCTATAGGTGGCCTTCTGTAGGTGACCCTGCTTCGGCAGGGGGGGTGGACTAGATGACCCACCGAGGGCCTTTCCAACCCCTACCATTCTGTGATTCTGTGATTCTGTGGGCTGCGGTGTGGACATCTCCTCCGGCGTGGTCCTCCCCATGGGCTGCAGGAGAATCTCCGTTCCAGCACCTGGAGCACCTCCTCTCCTCCTTGTGTCTTGCAGGCACCTTGGTGTCTGCAGGACTGTTTCTCACACTCTTTTTCTTCACTTCTCACACTATTACCTATCATCTCTTCTGCTCTTGTGTGGAGACTCTCGATTCTTACACAGAATATATTGTCCTTACACAGTAGGTATGGGAGAATAAATTACCATCTCATTTGTGAATCTTGGGTTGTAAATGGTCAAAAAAGGATTTCATTTCAGTTTCAGACCTTCCTTTCTATTTCATCACCCTGTTACAGTCCCAGAAAATCAACGAATAATATCATTGAAGAGCACGGTCCTTTTATATTATTTTACTTGTTAACTAATTTAGTTCAGTAACTGCTTACTAAATTACGTTCTCCCATCTACATTATTTCTTGTTATAGACATTTCTTCTGGCTCTTGTTCCAAAGAAAGTTATAACTGTCTTACCAGGCAGGCTTCAAACAACTTGCCCCAGTGTTCTGGTGCTCTGGTATATCTCAATAATGACAATATAAAAAAAAAAAACAACACACAAAAAAAACCCCAACAAGAGCCACTCTCCAAAGTGGAGTTTTCCAGTTCCATTGGAGAAATAATGTGCTTTCTTAAAAAAAATTGTGTTTGCTAGACAAAAGCCCAGAAGAACAAATGTTCATTCTTTCTTTCTCATACTCATATGTGAGAGACACCTGTCACCTGTCCAGTCTCAGTGACTACCCTGCCTATCAAGAATCCGAATACAAACTTCCCCCTGCCAGCCCACTGCCTGCATGACCCAGTGAAACAGTATTTTGCGAATGGGTTATTCAAAAACTCTCCTTTCCTTCACTGCAGCTGACTTAGCTCCCAAACTTCATCCAGTCTGGAAGCAAGAATGCCAAGCAAGTAAGATACTGTTAGAAATTTCTTCCTTTTCCTTTCTAAATTCCTGTTCCCACAAGCACTGACCCAAATATTTGTGGCCAACCTGCTGCCCACAGCAATAGGCTGCAGAAATGTTGGCAGTGAGACAAGTGTTGAATAGAAATTGGAATCCAGTTGTGAAGCCTCTTTAATATGAATTTTAAATACCTCTCTCTTCCTCAGGCTAAGTCTGAATTTGAGGTCTGAGTTCTCACCTTCAGGTTAGCATCCTAACATGAGACCAGATAAAGACATTCTGTACATGAGATGCTTGTTATGTTTCCAGTGGAAGCTGTCCCTATCTGCAAAATTAACTAGTATTCATGAAAGACAGAGAAATCCTCCAAGACTGAGGGCTCCAGTACTAGTCATTTTTTTCTCACATGAAGCATAGCATTGTCACAGAAAAGATCGAAAGTGTTTTTTTCTAAAAAGTCTTTT